AAGAGAAGAATGAAGACATGATCATCTCATGACATATTATCATGGGAGTAAACAAGGATGGATTATATATCATAACTGTTAATGAAACAAGAGGTCACATATGGAACTAAGTACCCAAATCAGTCACACATACATTATAAAGAATTATTTCAGTGTCAACACACTATGTAATCACTATTCTAAACAGTTTCGGGAATCTCTACACCAGTTCAACTTAACCATCCTTAACCTAACCTTAGTTAGAAAGGGATATAACTCACTAAAACTATTCAATTACCATTTATCCAATTTTCCTTATCCTATCTCATAACCAGAGGGTTTAGACCCCTCTTACCTCGAAATTATACTATATATTTAAGGTAGGAATATATTTTTACATATAAACCTAACATTCCCTAATTCAACCCTATACTATAATTTCGAGGTAAGGGGGGTCTAAACCCTCTGGTTATGAGATAGGATAAGGAAAATTGGGTAAATGGTAATTGAATAGTTTTAGTGAGTTATATCCCTTTCTAACTAAGGTTAGGTTAAGGATGGTTAAGTTGAACTGATGTAGAGAAAATTCCCATTATTATCATATTTTTCCATTAACCCCCCCCCCCCTCCAGGTAATAGAGGTTAAGTTGAGGATGGTTGTACTGATGTGAAGAAAATACTACGAAAATTATGCAATATTGAACCAAGATCCGTGTATCGGAGGTTAGATCCAGGGGGGTTGGGTTGATGCAAAACAACACTTTCCTCCCATAAATACAATAAATTTGAAGTTAGATAAAGGGAGGTTAGGTAATGGGTGGTTGGGTTGATGCACAAATAACACGTTCCTCCCATATTTACGATAAATTTGAGGTTAGATAAAGGGAGGTTAGGTCCGGGACGGTTGGGTTGATGTGTAAAAACAAAAACACCTTCCCAACAATATAGCTACAATATTGAACACAATTCCAAGTTTTAAAGGAGAGGGGGCTGTTAGGTTCATATCCAAAACATCACTTTCCTATGAATATGGTTACAATGTTCAACAAAGAAGCTAGTAGGTTAGGCACAGTGCGGATAGGTTCATATCCAAAACTTCACTTTTCGAAGAAAATAGATAAAATTTTCAACAAAGCTCCAAGACTCTTGCAGGTTAGGCACGGGCATTTAGGTTCATATCCGAAAAACATCACTTCTCTGAGTATATGTTGTATCAGAGATTAGGTCCAGGTTTACATGAAATGGGCAAAAATGTGGGTAAAATGGGCTTTGGCTGTGCTATGATACACAACATTTAGGCATATTTGGTGGAAATTGTCTCCAATTTGGTGGCGATAGCTTAAATTTCCCCAACTTTAATCAAAATCTGCTAGGTCAGGGTTAGATAAGGCTATGTAGGGTAGGTTGGAATATGTGAAAACTTGGCTAAAATGGTCTTTGGCTGAGCTATGTAACAAAACATTTTGGGTATATTTGGTAGAAATTGTCTTAAATTAGGTTGAATTTAGGTGAGTAAGCATAAATTTCACGAACTCTAATCAAATCTAGCTTGGGATATGCTAGGTCAGGTTAGGTAAGGTTGTGTAGGGTAAGATGGAATAGGTGAAAATTTGGGTGAAATGAACTTTGGCTATGCTAAGATACAAAACATTTGGGTATATTCGGTGGAAATTGGCTTAAATTAGGTTGAATTTAAGTGGGAAAGGCATAAATTTTGCCAACTTTAATCAAATCTAACTTTGGATATGCCAAGTGATGTTGGGTAGGGTTGTCTAGGGCAGGTTGGAATAGGTGAAAACTTGGCTAAAATGAGCTTTGACTGTGCTATGTTACAAAACATTTTTGGGTATATTTGGTGGGAATTGACTTAAATTAGGTCGAATTTATGTGGGATAGCTTAAATTTCGTCAACTTTATCCAAATCCAGGTTTGGATATGCTAGGTTAGATTAGGTGAGGCCGTGTAGGGTAGGATATATATATATATATATATATATATATATATATATATATATATATATATATATATATATATATATATATATATATATATATATATATATATATATATATATATATATATATATATATATATATAATATCTTAGGGGTAATGAACTAGCATGTTTATGAAATAGTGTAAATTTTCCTATTTGGGGTTCGAGCTATATGGCCAACTCATGTAATGTATGGACAGAGGTGACATAGGCTTGTATGTGAGGATATGGGATGGTCATATTTAGCAAGTTTAGTTTTTGCTAGGTTGAATTTAGTCAAATTTGTGTAGTATAAGTATATTTTTTGATAGATTTAGATGAATTTATGTTTTAATAGGATGCATTTTGATAAGATATAGCAAATTTGCTTAAAATTATAATAGAAAATACTGACTTCACCTAACCTTACCTGCCCTAACATAACTAAGGCTAGAACAAATAAGTCTGTTAGATGGTTTGCATAAATAAATATGGGTGGCCTGATTGGAGAGGATATAACAAGGAAGGTATTGTTATGACATTAAAAACAATGGACATATGTTAGATGAATAGTTTAGCACTAATAATGTTGAAATATTAATGGAAAATGAATGAGTTTTATATTGAGCTCATAGGAAGTCATGTGTACCATTTTTATATGTGAAATTCTGACTTTTGGGGAGTTGGTTAAACTCAGTGTATTATAATTAATGTCCTAAATATACCTAGAAAAATATCATTCAAATTGTGTATTGTTTGACCTAGTTGGTTGTGTTTGTATTTGTACATATATAGCACAATTAATATACTTGTGCATTAATTGTGCAGATTATGTATTTTGCATAAGTTGTATGATTATTGCAATTATGTATTGATTATATTTCTATAAATTGTGTATTGTTTTGTGCAAGTTGTATGTATTAATTTTATATGCTTTTTTGTATGTGTATTTGTGGAAATTATGTAGTTGTGTATTTAATGAATATGTGCTAGTTATGTATTGTTCATATTTTGGTAAGTTGTGTATTGATTATATTTTTGAGCAAGTTGTGTATTAGTTGTGTAAATGTCGTAATTGTATTTGTGTAAATCGTGTATTTATGCTAGTTGTGAATTTTCATATTTGGGGCAGTTATGTATTGTACGTATTTGTGTAAGTTGTGTAATATTATGAAAGATGTGTAATATTTGTGAAAGTTGTGTATTAATTGCGCATGTTGTGTAATTGCATATGGACGAATTGTTTATTTATACCTTTGTGTATTGATTGTCATTGTGCAAGTCGAGTAATTATATAGCAAGTTTTCTTGTATTAATTGTGCAAAGATGTATAATAATTACACAAATTGTGTAATAATTGTCCATGTTTTATAATAATTTTTGTGCTAATAGTGCATTTATGCAAGTTGTGTTTTTAATTTGTTGAAGTGGAACTGGTGCAACTGTAGTTTTGTGTGCAAATTGTGTATTTTGTGTAAGCTCTGTAATCTGAAAAATAGATCTTCATGGTGTAAGTGTATTTTGGTTTATGAGACAATGTGTAGGTATTTTGTGAAAATTATGTTTGTGAAATTGTGTAATTTTAGTGAAAGCGCATTTTTAATTGTCTAAATGCATAAGCATTTTGACATATTTGTACAAATACCATACTTTGTGTAAATGTCATACTCTGAGGGTACATGCAATATTGTGTAAATGGTATATTTTTGTGTGCAACTGACATATTTTGTATGTAAATGTCATAATTTGTCTATAAATGACATATTTTTGTGTGATGGTATATTTGAATGTAAATAATATATTTTGTGCATAAATGACATATTTGATGTGTAAATGCTGTATTTTCTGTGTATGGCATAAATTACATCTGATTAATGGGGAAATGGTGGCAAAAAACTAGGCTATTCTCTATGAATGTTTGGGTTGCGGAGTGCGTGTAGGTATGTATGCTTGTATTTGCGACTATTGATTTAGAAACAAGTTAGCTTATTTGCGTAGCAAGACTAGGATTTTTTTGACGTGTAGAAATGATTAGCCTATGAATATAGTGGCTAGCATCCAGCTAAGTTGCTAGATGGTTGAATTGAGGTGCGACATTTGGATAGCTATTTGATGGATGTGAGGACAGTTGACTAGCCTATGAACACAGCTACTAATCCGCTGTGCTGCCAGATGTGTGGTAACTACTTGTGGATTATAGTACGATATCTAGCTATAGGGTTTCATAATTGCTGTTGTGTATAAAACTAGAATGAGAGCTATTTATTAAAACTATTATTGTAAACTAATACTTTAAGTGGGATCCCTTCGTTGTTTTAAGCATAGGATGGACAGGAATATGAATGAGATTGGGTGGAAATATATAGGAGCTGCCTCGTATGGGCCAATAGGACTTCTGCAGTTACCTTTATTCTTATGATCAGCTCAACTGCTATGCTGCCAGGTGTAAGATTCTGCATAAATTGCTGTAAGTCATTTGGGCAGCTTTTTAGCTTTTGAACCCATTAGTGCATAATGATTACAGTTGTGGATGACTAAAATGTATATTCTCAAACCTCTGATTAGGTTAGGTGGGGATGGTTAGTCTAGCCATTTTGAATAATAACATCAAATACAGTACATATGCAGGTAGGTCGCCAAAGGTCGCATTGGTCATCTGGTGACGTCATACATAGTTTGAAAAGTCAGGTTGCAGTAGAGCCTTAACACTTAAATGCTAATGGCCAACAATACCCTATCCCCATACTGAGGTCGCTTTTCGTGATGTCACTAAACAACAACAACTGGTCTGTAGAATGTATTTGTTTGTTATATAATAAGTTGGGTTAGGATGGTTTGATAGGGTTTATGAAATGAATAACAGAAAATATGAGCAATGAGCGAAAAAATATGAGCAAAGGAACCAGAATATCGCCTGTGATGTCAGAGTACAGTTGAGGCATTGGGAGTGATTAAGAGTTCGCACTAATGTGTGAACCTCCTAGGATCCCCATTTACCACGTCGGCTGGAAGCTTTGAGCTCATTGGTGCCTCGCACCGCATTGGGGATGCATGATGACATCAGAAAGAAGGTAACTGCAGAAGGCCTTATTTCAAAACATGAGAGGCTTGCTTTTACTGAATGAGTATTTTGATTTGTTATGTGCTACAGTAAGGTGTGGGAGGCATGTTTTGAGCGAATGTGAGACGTGCATATATATTTATGCACGTGCAAATATATTTATGCGTTTAAGCAGCAATATTGGATTACTATTGAAATTGCATTGAAGTCACCACGCCTAGCAGGGGTCTGTTTTCATACAAATGGATGATAGTGAGTTTTCATTTTTATTTGCCCTATGCTCAATAAACTATCCTTGAAGAAAAAGATTGACAAAGCTTAAACTACATTATCTAGACAGGGGAAGAAATATGAGTGACATGATAGAGGTGTGACTGAATGGACATGTCAAAGGGGGGATATTAATACTATAAACACGAGACAGAACACGAAACAATGGGTATAAATTGGATAAGTTTTAAATTTAGGAAATAGACCTAGGTAATACTGGTTTGGTAACAATGCGAGAATGCTGAGATATATGATAGTTCTTGCTCTGTGTTGCTCCCCCTTTTGCTACATGCAATGGACGATGGTTGGAAGTAAATATGAAATTTAAGATAGTCTAGGGATGATGGTATTTTACATTAGGTTTCAGGGTTACTGTTGTATCGCAAAACACACGACTCATAGACCGGCTTTTTAATCCCCCTTGATCGTGCCTGTGCAGGAGCGCTGAGCGTCTAGCTGGTGATGTCATTGACCATTAGCGATGCCTGTGCATGGGTCACTGGGGTGACGAAAAGCATGTATGACTGTGAGGAACCTTTTAATCCCCTTGAGCGAAATTTTATGGATTATAAGGCAATCACCCGCTGGGGTAACGAAAAACTGCTATGACTACGAGTGTCCCCTCAAAACTGTAATGAAAAACAGGCACGCCTACACGTGTCCCTCGAAAAAAGCAAAACGGACACGCGTAGGCGTACTTTCCACTACTACCGCTGCCCACCAATCCGCCCACCAACCCACCCACCAACCCACCTCCAACTCGCCCACCAACCTACCTCCAACTCGCCCACCAACCCGCCCAGCGCCAGGCATCACAGTGCTACGCTCTGAGTACTGATGACAAGCAAGAAGGTTGGAACATGTCGTGACAGACGACTGTAAGGCGGGGACCAGGAGCTGAGTCTTGACCTGCGCGCGCACACAAGCGAGGAACAAGGCCCAGAGTTGACAGAATTTGCACAAGAGAACAATTAAATTCCAGCAATACAGGTATACAACGAGACCGAGAGCTAGATCTCACTTCCCCCATAATTACAGATAGGTAAGTACGGCTAGGTAGACACACGTGTACAGATGTGCTCAGAAACAGCCAGGAACAGCTGGCCTCATTATGCCTGCACACCTGCTGTCATAACACACACCTGGGCTCATATTGCTCGCTCGGAACCACACACACACACGGCGCCAGGATGAAAACGGAAACCAGGAATTATTGTACCTCTGGTGACTCTGTATACAGCTCGTACCAGAGACAGGTTGTCTCGTTGGGCACCATTCCTTTCCCCCGTCCCACCCCAAATCCCTATCCTGATTCCCTTCCAAGTGAGTCGTAATGGCTTGGCGCTTTCCCTTGATAATTCCCTCCCGTCCCTCCTGGACCTGGTTTCTAGACTTCACTTGGCTCTGTCAGAGACGGGATTCATCCACTTTCGAAACCTGTACATCTTTCCTCAATCATGGCGCCTTTATTTATATTTAATTAACATTTCATGAGCTCTCAAGCACTGCGAGGTTGTTTATAGGAGTAATAACCTTGGAGTGTGTCGTGTTGAAGCTCGTAAACCATTTACTGTTAAACAGATGAGTAAGGACAGATGTACAGGTTTCGTAATGGGTTGTGTAAATGGTTGGTCTGGCGGTGGTCATAACTCTTCTGATTATTGCAGTGTCTCAGGCGTCCTCTGAGCGTTATATTATTGTACCTCTGGTGTCTCCTCTTCTGGACAACCTCGTACCTGTACTGTCCTGCTCTTGTTGTACCTACGCCTCGCTCTCTTCTGTACACTCTTACTCCTCTGAGGCCAGATTCACGGATGCACTTACGCAAGAACTTACGAACGTGTACATCTTTCCTCAATCTTTGACGACTTTTGTTATATTTATTAAACAGTTTACATGCATGAAAACTTCCCATTCAGCTGTTGTTATTGTTATGAACTGCCTCCTGGTGTTTCGAAGCTCATTGTTTAATAATTGTAAACAAAGCCGCCAAAGATTGAGAAAAGATGTACAGGTTCGTTAGTGCTTGCGTAACTGCTTCGTGAATTTGGCCCCAGGCCTCTGTTCCTAATTCTCGTGACCTTCCTTATTCTTAATGTTGTTATACATCTGGCGTCCTGCGTGTTCTTAGTGTTATACACCTGACGTCCTGCGTGTTCTTAGTGTTATACACCTGACGTCCTGCGTGTTCTTGGTGTTATACACCTGACGTCCTGCGTGTTCTTAGTGTTATACATCTGACGTCCTGCGTGTTCTTAGTGTTATACATCTGACGTCCTGCGTGTTCTTAGTGTTATACACCTGACGTCCTGCGTGTTCTTAGTGTTATACATCTGACGTCCTGCGTGTTCTTAGTGTTATACACCTGACGTCCTGCGTGTTCTTGGTGTTATACACCTGACGTCCTGCGTGTTCTTAGTGTTATACACCTGACGTCCTGCGTGTTCTTAGTGTTATACATTTGACGTCCTGCGTGTTCTTAGTGTTATACATCTGACGTCCTGCGTGTTCTTAGTGTTATACACCTGACGTCCTGCGTGTTCTTAGTGTTATACATCTGACGTCCTGCGTGTTCTTAGTGTTATACATCTGACGTCCTGCGTGTTCTTAGTGTTATACATCTGGCGTCCTGCGTGTTCTTAGTGTTATACATCTGACGTCCTGCGTGTTCTTAGTGTTATACATCTGACGTCCTGCGTGTTCTTAGTGTTATACACCTGACGTCCTGCGTGTTCTTAGTGTTATACATCTGACGTCCTGCGTGTTCTTAGTGTTATACACCTGACGTCCTGCGTGTTCTTAGTGTTATACATCTGACGTCCTGCGTGTTCTTAGTGTTATACATCTGACGTCCTGCGTGTTCTTAGTGTTATACATCTGGCGTCCTGCGTGTTCTTAGTGTTATACATCTGACGTCCTGCGTGTTCTTAGTGTTATACATCTGACGTCCTGCGTGTTCTTAGTGTTATACACCTGACGTCCTGCGTGTTCTTAGTGTTATACATCTGACGTCCTGCGTGTTCTTAGTGTTATACATCTGGCGTCCTGCGTGTTCTTAGTGTTATACATCTGACGTCCTGCGTGTTCTTAGTGTTATACATCTGACGTCCTGCGTGTTCTTAGTGTTATACACCTGACGTCCTGCGTGTTCTTAATGTTATACACCTGACGTCCTGCGTGTTCTTAGTGTTATACACCTGACGTCCTGCGTGTTCTTAGTGTTATACACCTGACGTCCTGCGTGTTCTTAATGTTATACACCTGACGTCCTGCGTGTTCTTAGTGTTATACATCTGACGTCCTGCGTGTTCTTAGTGTTATACACCTGACGTCCTGCGTGTTCTTAGTGTTATACATCTGGCGTCCTGCGTGTTCTTAGTGTTATACACCTGACGCCCTGTGTGTTCTTAATGTTATACACCTGACGCACTGTGTGTTCTTAATGTTATACACCTGACGCCCTGTGTGTTCTTAATGTTATACACCTGACGCCCTGTGTGTTCTTAATGTTATACACCTGACGCACTGTGTGTTCTTAAGGTACCTCTGGCATCCTTTATGCCTAAGGTCATCATACTTCTGGCAACAACCTCCCCAAAAGCTACCGTACCTCTGGGGTTGCGTGAACACAAACGACCCCAGAAGAGACTAAGCTAACGAGGCAATTGCAGAATCATAGTTAATCCGGCCTGTCGTCGTTACAACGCTTCAGTGCGCGTCTTTACGTCGTGGCGCTAATAACGACCTCATCTTGTGGTCGTTTAACCCCCAACGTCTTCATCCCTTGAGCACTAGCCCCTCCCCCCTTACCCTTCCCTATCCCTCCCCCTCCCCCCATCCCAAATCCTTATCCTGACCCCCTTCCAAGTGCTATAGCCGTAATGGCTTGGCGCTTTCCCCTTGATAGCTCCCTCCTTCCCTCAGCCCGTGCTTCTCTGGTTCATTCACGTTTCCTGAGTTCTGAATACGGATCGAATCCAACTAATCCGGAAACGCTGAGAGCGACGGTGTCGCCTCTTGCAGGTCGGGGTTCAATCCCCCGACCGTCCAGGTGGTGGTGGGGCACCATTCCTTCCCTCCGTCCCGTCCCGAATCATTATCCTCATATCCGAGTGCAGTACAGTCGTAACGGCTTAGCGCTTTCTCCTCACAATGACCTTGTCGTCTTATAAACAAAAGAATAAGACAAGAAACGAAGAAAAAAACAACTGCAAATCAAGATGCAAGAGCCGCAGTAACTAGCACACAAGCAGGAGTAATAGAGATACATTAATGGTTGTTGTTGTGGCAGTAATGGTGGGTGTTGTGGGGGTAATGGTGGGTGTTGTGGGGGTAATGGTGGGTGTTGTGGCAGTAATGGTGGGTGTTGTGGCAGTAATGGCAGGTGTTGTGACAGTAATGGCAGGTGTTGTGGCAGTAATGGCAGGTGTTGTGACAGCTGGTGTGGTTGTAACGGAAGGCATTATAACAACAACAACGACAGGTGTTGTGGCACAGGAACTGTAAACACCTCGAACTAGAGCCACATTAGTGGTCCAAGAGGTGCTCACCAACCTCACTCTTCTCTCTCTCTCTATCTCTCTCTCTCTCTCTCTCTCTCTCTCTCTCTCTCTCTCTCTCTCTCTCTCTCTCTCTCTCTCTCTCTCTCTCTCTCTCCTCTCTCTCTCTCTCTCTCTCTCTCTCTCTCTCTCTCTCTCTCTCTCTCTCTCTCTCTCTCTCTCTCTCTCTCTCTCTCTCTCTCTCTCTCTCTCTCTCTCTCTCTCTCTCTCTCTCTCTCTCTCTCTCTCTCTCACGACCTATCATCGCCAGAACTTGGGGCTTCCTCCCCCTTTGATCTCCGGAAACACTAAAGTGGGATGCCCGCCTCTCCCAGCCTCCAGCTGCACGCCTCTCCCAGCCTGCAGCTGCACGCCTCTCCCAGCCTCCAGCTGCACGCCTCCCCCAGCCTGCAGCTGCCCGCCTCTCCCAGCCTCCAGCTGCACGCCTCTCCCAGCCTCCAGCTGCACGCCTCTCCCAGCCTCCAGCTGCACGCCTCTCCCAGCCTCCAGCTGCACGCCTCTCCCAGCCTCCAGCTGCACTCCTCTCCCAGGATGCAGCTGCCCGCCTCTCCCAGTCTGCAGCTGCACGCCTCTCCCACCCTGCAGCTGCACGCCTCTCCCAGCCTGCAGCTGCACGCCTCTCCCACCCTGCAGCTGCACGCCTCTCCCAGCCTGCAGCTGCACGCCTCTAGCCCAGCCTGCAGCTGCACGCCTCTCCCAGACTCCAGCTGCACGCCTCTCCTAGCCTCCAGTTGCACGCTTCTCCCAGCCTCCAGCTGCACGCCTCTCCCAGCCTCCAGCTGCACGCCTCTCCCAGCCTGCAGCTGCACGCCTCTCCCAGCCTCCAGCTGCCCGCCTCTCCCAGCCTGCAGCTGCATGCCTCTCCCAGCCTGCAGCTGCACGCTTCTCCCAGCCTGCAGCTGCACGCCTCTCCCAGCCTGCAGTTGCCCGCCTCTCCCAGCCTCCAGCTGCCCGCCTCTCCCAGCCTCCAGCTGCACGCCTCTCCCAGCCTCCAGCTGCACGCCTCTCCCAGCCTCCAGCTGCACGCCTCTCAAAGCCTGCAGCTGCCCGCCTCTCCCAGCCTCCAGCTGCCCGCCTCTCCCAGCCTGCAGCTGCACGCCTCTCCCAGCCTGCAGCTGCACGCCTCTCCCAGCCTCCAGCTGCACGGCTCTCCCAGCCTGCAGCTGCACGCCTCTCCCAGCCTGCAGCTGCACGCCTCTCCCAGCCTCCAGCTGCCCGCCTCTCCCAGCCTCCAGCTGCCCGCCTCTCCCAGCCTGCAGCTGCACGCCTCTCCCAGCCTCCAGCTGCACGCCTCTCCCAGCCTGCAGCTGCACGTCTTTCCCAGCCTCCAGCTGCACGCCTCTCCCAGCATGCAGCTGCACGCCTCTCCCAGCCTGCAGCTGCACGCCTCTCCCAGCCTGCTGCTGCACGCCTCTCCCAGCCTGCAGCTGCACGCCTCTCCCAGCATGCAGCTGCACGCCTCTCCCAGCCTCCAGCTGCACGCCTCTCCCAGCATGCAGCTGCACGCCTCTCCCAGCCTGCAGCTGCACGCCTCTCCCAGCCTGCAGCTGCACGCCTCTCCCAGCCTGCAGCTGCACGCCTCTCCCAGCCTGCAGCTGCACGCCTCTCCCAGCCTGCAGCTGCACGCCTCTCCCAGCCTGCAGCTGCACGCCTCTCCCAGCCTGCAGCTGCACGCCTCTCCCAGCCTGCAGCTGCACGCCTCTCCCAGCCTGCAGCTGCACGCCTCTCCCAGCATGCAGCTGCACGCCTCTCCCAGCCTGCAGCTGCACGCCTCTCCCAGCCTGCTGCTGCACGCCTCTCCCAGCCTCCAGTTGCCCGCCTCTCCCAGCCTGCAGCTGCACCTAAGAACTCCATTCCGGCTATTAACAGTTTAAAGTAATTATGTGAGTTGAATCTGATGACCAATCAAGGAAAAGTTTTCAGGATAGTGAGAGGGAGCAGGGTGTAGATGGAGGCCGCCAGGGTGTAGATGGAGGCCGCCAGGGTGTAGATGGAGGCCGCCAGGGTGTAGATGGAGGCCGCCAGGGTGTAGATGGAGGCCGCCAGGGTGTAGATGGAGGCTGCCAGGGTGTAGATGGAGGCCGCCAGGGTGTAGATGGAGGCCGCCAGGGTGTAGATGGAGGCCGCCAGGGTGTAGATGGAGGCCGCCAGGGTGTAGATGGAGGCCGCCAGGGTGTAGATGGTGGCCGCCAGGGTGTAGATGGAGGCTGCCAGGGTGTAGATGGAGGCTGCCAGGGTGTAGATGGAGGCCGCCAGGGTGTAGATGGAGGCCGCCAGGGTGTAGATGGAGGCTGCCAGGGTGTAGATGGAGGCCGCCAGGGTGTAGATGGAGGCCGCCAGGGTGTAGATGGAGGCCGCCAGGGTGTAGATGGAGGCCGCCAGGGTGTAGATGGAGGCCGCCAGGGTGTAGATGGTGGCCGCCAGGGTGTAGATGGAGGCTGCCAGGGTGTAGATGGAGGCTGCCAGGGTGTAGATGGAGGCTGCCAGGGTGTAGATGGAGGCTGCCAGGGTGTAGATGGAGGCTGCCAGGGTGTAGATGGTGGCCGCCAGGGTGTAGATGGTGGCCGCCAGGGTGTAGATGGTGGCCGCCAGGGTGTAGATGGAGGCTGCCAGGGTGTAGATGGAGGCTGCCAGGGTGTAGATGGAGGCTGCCAGGGTGTAGATGGTGGCCGCCAGGGTGTAGATGGTGGCCGCCAGGGTGTAGATGGTGGCCGCCAGGGTGTAGATGGAGGCCGCCAGGGTGTAGATGGAGGCCGCCAGGGTGTAGATGGTGGCCGCCAGGGTGTAGATGGAGGCCGCCAGGGTGTAGATGGAGGCCGCCAGGGTGTAGATGGTGGCCGCCAGGGTGTAGATGGAGGCCGCCAGGGTGTAGATGGAGGCCGCCAGGGTGTAGATGGTGGCCGCCAGGGTGTAGATGGTGGCCGCCAGGGTGTAGATGGAGGCCGCCAGGGTGTAGATGGAGGCCGCCAGGGTGTAGATGGAGGCCGCCAGGGTGTAGATGGTGGCCGCCAGGGTGTAGATGGAGGCCGCCAGGGTGTAGATGGAGGCCGCCAGGGTGTAGATGGAGGCCGCCAGGGTGTAGATGGTGGCCGCCAGGGTGTAGATGGAGGCCGCCAGGGTGTAGATGGAGGCCGCCAGGGTGTAGATGGTGGCCGCCAGGGTGTAGATGGTGGCCGCCAGGGTGTAGATGGAGGCCGCCAGGGTGTAGATGGAGGCCGCCAGGGTGTAGATGGAGACCGCCAGGGTGTAGATGGAGGCCGCCAGGGTGTAGATGGAGGCCGCCAGGGTGTAGATGGAGGCCGCCAGGGTGTAGATGGAGGCCGCCAGGGTGTAGATGGAGGCCGCCAGGGTGTAGATGGAGGCCGCCAGGGTGTAGATGGAGGCCGCCAGGGTGTAGATGGAGGCCGCCAGGGTGTAGATGGTGGCCGCCAGGGTGTAGATGGTGGCCGCCAGGGTGTAGATGGAGGCCGCCAGGGTGTAGATGGAGGCCGCCAGGGTGTAGATGGTGGCCGCCAGGGTGTAGATGGAGGCCGCCAGGGTGAAGATGGAGGTTGCCAGGGTGTAGATGGAGGCTGCCAGGGTGTAGATGGTGGCGGCCAGGGTGTAGATGGTGGCGACCAGGGTGTAGATGGAGGCCGCCAGGGTGTAGATGGTGGCCGCCAGGGTGTAGATGGAGGCTGCCAGGGTGTAGATGGAGGCCGCCAGGGTGTAGATGGAGGCTGCCAGGGTGTAGATGGAGGCTGCCAGGGTGTAGATGGTGGCGGCCAGGGTGTAGATGGTGGCCACCAGGGTGTAGATGGAGGCCGCCAGGGTGTAGATGGTGGCCGCCAGGGTGTAGATGGTGGCCGCCAGGGTGTAGATGGAGGCCGCCAGGGTATAGATGGTGGCCGCCAGGGTGTAGATGGTGGCCACCGGGTGTAGATGGAGGCCGCCAGGGTGTAGATGGTGGCCGCCAGGGTGTAGATGGTGGCCGCCAGGGTGTAGATGGAGGCCGCCAGGGTGTAGATGGAGGCCGCCAGGGTGTAGATGGAGGCCGCCAGGGTGTAGATGGAGGCCGCCAGGGTGTAGATGGAAGCAGAGGCAGGAACGTCACACACAGAGCCTCAGTGTTCTCATCAGTAGTGATGACTACTGAGTGAAGAGTGATGAGAGTCGAAGCCTTGATTAAACAAAAATCATCAAAGAAAACGGATAAAAGCCAGGGTCGACTAATCCAGAAGAGGAAGAAATGAAAATTTAAATGAAAAACGGAAGCTCTCTTATCTGTAAGAGAAATGTTTGTCACTTTGTCGAAAGTTGGAGGCCAGACGCTTGGAGCTAATCTCACCCAAATTGGCAGAGGGACTGGTCTGGGGTGCGGGATAAACATAGGCTGGTCGGGGTCGCCAGCATTTAAATGGAAACACCGTGCCAGGATCACATTCAGACCCTACTACGATTTTTGGCTTTGGTCGCCAGCTACACAGCTTAATGCCTTCAAAATAAATATTAGAAAAAAATGTTTTTATAGTAATACACAACTCACTGATTTCGGGAAAGTTAACTGAAGTCTCCTGCTATCTATAATGTTCCCAAACTTGCACAAAAAATCCCATCCTGCAACAGTCTTGTTTCTCAGGTCACACTCCGTTCTAAGGGTAAAGGGGAAGCGCTTTTATTTTTTAGTTCTCACCGGCCACCTCCCACACATTAGACAATTATATTGTTTTAGAAGATACCGAAACAGAGACAAAGACAGAAACAGACACACACAGAAATATACTGCAGGTATGTCGTCAACATACCTGCAGTATATACCTGCAGTAGACGTGCAGTATATACTGCAGGTATGTTGATGACATTTTTACACAGGTACCTGATGTCAGACATCTGCAGGAGCTGAAGGAGGCATTTGAGCAGAATTCTGTGTTGCGTTTCACTTACGAGATGGAGAAGGATGGGAAGCTGCCCTTTCTAGATGTAACAGTCATGGAAAGGAGCGGAGTTTTCCACACTGCAGTCTACACTAAGGAAACAAACATAGGAATGTGCCTGAATGCCAACAGTGACTGCCCGGACAGGTACAAGAGGAGTGTTGTTAACGCTTATGTCGACCGTGCCCTCAGCGACAGCTCAGAATGGAAGCAAGTCGACGAAGAACTCTGTAGGGTAAAGCAGGTCCTAGTCAACAACGGCTTCTCCAATGGTTTCGTGGAAGACATCATAAGAAGGAAAGTGAAACGCCATGCAACCTCTGAAGAGACAACTAACACAACACCTATACCCCCTATTAGACTATTTTACAGGAACTTCTTTTCCACAGCCCATAAAACGGAGGAAAGGGTCCTGAAAGATATTGTCAGTAGAAACGTTATCCCTACAGACCAAAAATCAGAAGATACAACTGACGATTTACTATAAAACCAGAAAAACGGCCAGCCTACTCATGAGAAACTCTCCAGACACAAAGCAGAACGCTTTAAAAGAGACCAACGTCGTCTATGCCTTCAAATCCCCTCTTGGGGACTGTAAGCCTCAAAAAACCCAGTATATAGGCAAGACAACAACATCTCTTTCCAGGCGTTTAACGACGCATAAGCAACAGGGCTCCATTAAGGAACATATAATCTCTTCCCACAACCAAACCATCACCAGAGAAATCCTAGCAAACAACACAGAAATCATCGATAGATACAGCGATAGCAGACGGCTGGACGTCTGCGAGGCACTACACATCAAGAAGTCAACACCAGCAATCAACAGCCAATTAATGCACAACTATATTCTACCCACTTCAAGACTCCGCTCCAATATAGAAGCATCAAGAAATATGGACCAATAGGCTTTCTACAATTACTTCCATTCAATACCCATTGTTTCGTGTTCTGTCTTGTGTTTGAATTTAATACCCATTGTTTCGTGTTGTGTCTTGTGTTGGAATTTAATACCCATTCAATACCCATTGTTGAAAGTTCGTTTTTCACCTCATCCACCTCACCCAAATGTAGATATAAACCTCGAAGATGTGTAAAGCTCTATTCAGTTTCAGTTGTGTGTTTGTAAACTAAAGTCTTTGAAAATGTAATAAGTTTTACGAAACGTGCTCAAGTGTCGCGTCAGACTAGAAATAAAAATGAATTTTGGAGAATTGATCTTTGAATTACCATCAACAGTGAAAAGAAATGTAAGAAAGATAGAGAAAATTCGTGTTAGAATTATTAATCTTACTTTTTCGGTCATATTTAATAATATATATATATATTATATATATATATATATATATATATATATATATATATATATATATATATATATATATATATATTAGTATATCTTGGTAGCAGTCTTTCTTGTAAACATATGTTGTTGAATATGACTGAAAAGGTAAGATTAATAATTCTAACACGAATCTTCTCAATATTTCTTATGTTTTTCTTCACTGTCGGTGGTAATAAAAATAACAATTCTCCGAAATTCATTTTTTAATTGTCTGACGCCTGAACGCGTTTCGTAATTCGTATTACATTTTCAAAGACTTAATTTACACACAAATTCTTCGTACTTATACTTTATTGGATGAGATGATATAGTACAAAAGTTTTGGGTGAGGTGACAAAGCTATGACAGAACACGAATCAATGGGTATAAATTGGGTATGAAAACATAAGAATGGAAGTAACTGCAGAAGGCCTATTGGCCCATACTTCCTCTTGCTGCTTCTATGTTGGTTCGGGGTCTTGAAGTGGGTAGAATATAGTTGTGCATTAATTGGCTGTTGTCTGCTGGTGTTTACTGTTTGATGTGTAGTGCCTCACTGATGTCGAGTCTCCTGCTATCGCTGTATTTATCGATGATTTCTGTGTTGCTTGTTAAGATTTCTCCGGTGATGGTCTGGTTGTG